CCCCAAAACCCCAAAACCCCAAAACCCCTTCGAGGATATTTGCATATTTATTTGATAAGAGACATTATTAATAATAAATAAGTTTGCAATTAATATAAAATGGAAAGTGGTAGCCAATTAAGTCACTAGATCTCCGCTGATTAAGGAGGAAACACATAATTCTCTTCTCAAATCTATGGTAAATATCGATTAAGCTATAAACTTAACACTATGATTTTCATTTAAGTTAAATATTTTTTTAGAACAAAAATTGTCCCTTCTAAACTCAAAACTGGAGGTAATTAGTAATGAGCGCCATGAATTCGCATCATAGTTCTCACAGTAATAAAAGCAAATATCTGCTCTTCAAAATGAAAAAAGTGATCTCTTCTAAAGGCTCAACAAAAAGGAATAAGAGCTCAAAGTAGCTCAAGAATTATTAGAGCAATAAACTCTCAAGTCTGAGCAATTGATAAATGCCAAATCTGATGTTGAGTCTAACAGAGCTTAGCTTCAGGAAAGCCTTAATTAAACCAGGGAATAATCGAGAAAGGACTCAGAGGAGCTGAAGCAATAGATTCATTAACTTATGAAGGATAAGAGCACTGTTGAGTTTGAAAGAGCTACTCTTAAACTCAAAATATCGTCATTAGAGTTGCAAAATAATTTGATTAAGCAAGAGAAGGATAAAATGACAGAATAAGTAAAACTTATTTAGGAAGAACTCTCATCAACCAAAAGTGTCAACGATAAGAATGAACTCAAGCTGAGAAATCATCAATAAAAAATTGATAGCTTAGAGAGAGAAGTCTAATTCCATAATTAGTAGGTAAATGAAATTAAAAGGTAGAGCTAGACTAGAGTAGATGAGCTTTACAAATAAATCAATGATTTGATTAAGGATCTTGAGTACCATAAGAGTATTAATGATTAATCAGGATTGAAAAAGTTACAGTTTTAAACTTAAATTGCAAGCGTTTAAAGTGAATTAGACTCTCACAAGCATAATAACAGTAAGCTTGAGCAAGATTTAGCCAAGTTGAAAAGCGATTATGAATGTTGTAAACAAAACAGAGAAATATTACTTAAAAATAAGGATGATTTAATCAAAGAACTACAAGAAGTCAAAGAGAAATTCAAAATCATCACAGTCATGAAATCTCATGAAGATATCAAGAAAGAGGTTGATCAGAAGTAAATTTTAAAGTATCATGATGACTTTAAAAAGATTTTAGCTCAACAAAAGTAATATCCTTAATAAACTGAAAAGCTCATCATGAATAATAATCAACTTGCCAATCAAATTCAAGAATATCAAAGAATGATAGCATAATACAAACTTGCTTATGAGTAGGTTTCTAGTGAACTAGACAACCAACTCTCAAATAGAAAAAATACCTTAGATTAATATAGTTAGTTAGAGAACCACTATGTTGATACCAAAAAGGCACTAGCAAGCAGAACTACTGCCATGTTTGAAATACAAGCTCACTATGATTGTTTATGGTTATCTATTAAAGAGTCAGGATATGAAGGTTTGATAAGTAAGAGATATGATTAGTATGTGCTGAACAGAAATATGAGCAATGAATTTAAAGACATACCATAGTTAAGTGACTTATCCAACAAAAACTTATTGCTTCAGACCAAATTAGACAATCTGTAAAAAGAAAATCAAAAACTTTTAAGTCAAAATTAAGATGCCAATTAAGAGCTTGACTCAAAAGATGATAAGATCTCTTAATTAGAGGAAGTTATCTAAAAGCTTTAGCATAATTCTAATGATCATATCTAGCCTTAAGTTAATAGCTCGTTTATTTAAGTTTCATAGCTAGAGATATTATAGAGAAATTATACAGAGGATTTGAATTAGAAAATTAATGAACTAGCAGAATTAAGGATGAAATTGCATGTTACTGAGCAGAAGTTATAATAGAATGAAGATAGCTAATCCTTATAGAATTAAATCCCTAAATTTAACATTAAAGATTATGTTCATAAAAATGAATTCAATGACATTGAAGAGGGACTCTACGAAAAGTAAAGAGAACTAAACAGACTAGAAAATTAGTTAGCTTAATCTAAAGGTGAGATAGAAAAAATCAACAATGGGTCCAAGTTAAATTAAGCAATAATTAAGCAGCTTAAAGAATAAATTGAAAATCTAAATCAGTAACTAGAATAAGAGAAGTAGCAATTACAAAATTTGAAAAGACTTCAAATTGAGTAATCATCTGTCTAAAATTAAGTAGGGTTGCAAGGGCAAAGCTATGATTAGTAATTCAGAATACTCACAGAGGTAATTCAAGAATTAAAGCAAGAAAAAGAGAAACTCATTCATCAAGTTAGGTCTAAAGAGTAAACTATTGTAATGAATGAAAATTAGAGTCATAGCCAATCTATCATCATTGAGAATTTGAAACTTCAGCTAAAAACTGAGTAGGACAAAAATATAGAGCTTCAGAAAGTTGGTGATTATATTAGAAGAAATCCAGACTAAAATTTGAACAACTAAGACTCTCACAGAAATTTGGCTTTACATGCTTAAGACAAGAACTTTTAGGCTATTAATGATGAGCTTAGAATATTGCTTATAACTTAAAAAGAAGAGAACGAAAAGGAAATTGAAAACAGAGAATAGCTAATTTAACAAGCCCATCAACTAATTATTGAGAATGAATAGTAGGTTAGAGATTAGTAAGAACTGTTTGAAAGAAGAATCAGTGAGCTAACAGAGAAGCACATTTATGAGGCTTAATCACTGAACACCTTAGTTGTTGAACTTTAAAGGCAAAATGCTGAATTGAATCTCTTAAAGGAAGATCTATAGACTCAACTAGATGCTTTTACAGACTAAAAGGAAAAATTACTAATTACTGATGAAATGCAGAATAGTGAAATTAAAAGGCTTCATAGCAGTAATGTTGACTTGATGAGAGAGAATTCTTCATCCAATCTTAATCCCAACTTGTTCAAAGACATGAGTGAGAGAGTTGATAATCTACAAATCAGTTTCGCTGAGAAAGAAAAAGACTTTTAAATTGAAATCAACTAACTTAAAATTAATTTACAAGCCTATAAGCAAACTAAGGACATGCTGCTAGATGAGATTGACTCGCTAAAAGAAAATGAAAATTTATTGAAGAATGAGCTCTCATAACTTAGAAAGCATCTTGATACCTATTAGTAAACTAATATTTCAATGCAAATGGATTAGGTGCCAGAAAAAGATCATCATCAAATCAAAATGGACATCCAAGAATAGGCAGGAGAATTAATAATAAGGGAGAGACTATCAAAGGCTGAAAATGAAGTGGAGAATTTAAGAGGACAACTTCATAAAATGAATGAGAAAAATAGGCATTTACAAACATAGATAAATAAGCTTGAGTTTTAGCTTCAGAAGTAGAACGAGCAAATGGAAGAGGTAAACTAAAGAGGTATTCATTAGTCTTATCAACTTAGAATGCTCGATGAAGTAAATACATTAAATGCAACTCTCTAGCAAGAAAAAGCAGAACTTTAATAATAAATAGAAAAGATAAATGCTGAAAAGGAAGAAAGCCAAGGAGAACAAGACTAAATCTAGCAAGAGCCAGTGATAGAACAGGTTGCTGTCATAGATGCACAAGAGAAGATTGATCTCGTTGATAAATTGAAATAGCTGCAATTCAAGAATGAAGAACTGAGAAGAGAAATAGGAAGGATCCAGGGAGAAAATCTTGGTAATGCCCCTGCTTATACCTAGCAAGACATGTTCAAAAAGATGCATATGACTCTCTAAAAATCAAGGCAAATATTCTAGGCTGTGATTGACTAATTTGGAATGGATGAAAGTCTAGACACAGGTGCCAGCATGGAAGCTAATGAGATTAATGAATTTGGTGCAGGTACTCTAGGGAAGAGAAAGAGAACTCAGTGAGACATATCATAAATTAAGTGATCACAGAAAGTCATTTCTAGAATTTAATGAAGTTGTTTTTAGATTAATTAAAATCTCAAATTGTTACCTTTCTATTAACTATGATTAAACTTCAATATTTAACAATATGGGGTTTTGGGGTTTTGGGGTTTTGGGG